GTAAACCGCTTAGAGAGGGCTGAAAGCCCTATGAAGCAGTATATAAGTCTAACTGCTATTGCTATTGCTAAATCTGTGGTCTGATAAAACTTCTATTGGCTTTGTTCCCATTACCATAGCAATTATGTATACTAGCTAGGTTTACACATTACACAACACTCACAATATGGTTTCCTTAATTTTAGTTCAGTGTGTTGAACACAATAATCTTAGCTTTTGTGATGTGTAAGTCACATCTTTTGGCTTAATGTACTATTGCAAATCCAATCTATTGCAATGTATTTTAATAAATCAATGTTTCCTAACCTTGGTAATTAAGATGGGTGAGGTTCAACTGTTGTCCAACATGCTGTCCGGGAAACTCTGGGAATTAAACTATACCAATCTTAAAATTACCAAGGTGAAGAAAATAAATCATAGTTAAAGAAATCAAAGCTTAACATGATGCGCTATCCTGGTGTCAAAACAAATGGACAATCTAAAACATTTTCAGTTAAGTATTTCTTGCATTCTGTGCCTGAAATGAATATTGTGGAGAATGAAAACTTTTTTTCCCCATTTATAATTAATACCAGTTTACTTGAAGTGGTTTGAAGTCATCCTTTCTACAATCATTTTGCTTAAAAGTGAAAGAAAAGAAGAGGGGGGGGGAGGAAATGCTATTACATTACTTCTGTTAGACTTTCTTCAGAAAGGAAATGTTCAGAATAAATACTATAAGAACATTGTCTTATTTGACAGTTTCAGCAACCACATCCTTATATTTCATAACTACTAATGTACACATAAACTCCTAATTAGCCTGGCTTTGATTTTTTTTTTTCCAAAGTAGGCATTCTGTTTCTGCATAAAATGAGTTTTGTAGCCAGATTAAGCTTGAAAAGAATTTTATATTTACTACACTTGACTCCGGGACACTGCACCCGGAATGTGAATACTTGAGAGACCGCCTGCTGCCAATTACCTCCCAAAGACCCGTCAGATCTCACAGGGTCGGCCTCCTCTGGGTTCCGTCCCCCAGCCAATGCCATCTGGCTACTACCCGGGGGAGGGCCTTCTCTGTGGCAGCTCCGGCCCCTTCGAACGAGCTCCCCGCAGAGATCCGGACCCTCACCTCT